TGGACCCCTTCTAAAATGCATGTTTTAATAGTAGAAATGCATACATAAAAAGCATGATTTAATGATTACGTTTTATGAAACGTTTTACGAGATATTACGCTTACTTATAATATTTTGGAATACCATATTTTTCTATCGAACCCATGTTCTTTGTAGGACATCTGATGGATGACGATATATTATTTAGAATATGTTTTTACACACTTCTTTATAGTATAGATGATGGATGACTTTATACAATGAAGATGTTTTTAAGATATAGATACCTATGTTTGGGAAGTCTATGTTCTATGATTTTGTGCTTATGTAGTGGTCACTATACCGTCACAGGCGAGGATTATGGTTGTTGGCTGCGGGTTGGGATAAATAATCCCTGGCTTCAGGCCGAGGGACATGGAGTTGGCATTGGGCTGGGAGAAAATAATCTCTGGCTTCGGGTCGAGAAACATGGTGTTGGCTGCGGGCCGGGAGATATTATTATTAGATACCATTATTTAGCACACTATATATAAGATGTGTTTTATGAGAAGTTTTATGGCATGCTAAGGTTTTTGGAAAACCTACCACTTATTATGCTATTTTTTCATAAAACTTTTGGGGTTAGTATGTTGATAATTGCTTTAGTACTATATATCAACTTGATCCACTCATGTTTGTTTTGTGCCCCCTCATGACTTAGAATCGAGGCGTATAATCCCTGCGTTAAGGCACTTCCGCATCGGCATCTTCGAGTCCTCTCAGTGTAGGACCCATCTCTTGTTCATTCAATTTTATATTATTCCTTTTTAGTGTTCTATATTAGGTGTATGCTCTGAACACGTTCCTTAAATGCATATTCATTATATTTAAATTTCTATTATTTTATTCATAATTCTTGCTCTCATGCTTTCTAATATGGCTTCATCACATTCGAGTGTCGACTAACACATATCTACCTTGGTGTTTTGGAGAATATCAAGGTCGGGCGTGTCATCGATCCCTGCCAATTTCCCTTTCTCTCAACAACTAACAATTTCTTCAATTAACGCTATCATATAGGTATGGAATATAATCACTATCTGATAGTCGAGATATTTATTGTATTAAATACATGTAAGTGTTGTAATCAAATCCTTTTAAATTTTACTCATTCTCTAAACAAATACCTTTGTCCAAATGAGCCGTAATAGTCACTGGGCCGAATATGAAAATTTTCATTTAAACTTGGGCCAAACACAAATCCATTCACTCAAACTAGACCCAAATGACAATGATTTCTAACAGCCATGATAGTCACTAATCGGATATAAAATGGCAAATTAATTTGAATTATCTTGACCGTTAAATAAGTCACATAATATTTCTGAGCTTACATGATCATATTGTTGGTATACCCAAAAAAAAAAAAAAGTTGGTTGTTGCAATGTGTATGTCTTGTTAAGTACAAACATTAGATATGAGTGGACATCATGGGATGACACAAAATTCTAATTTACTTTTATGCCCATAACCTTCATGTGAAGTCTATTCCGACATGACATTGAATTTCAACATGGTTTAACGTCTAAATTATTAGAAATGCAAGATTACATTAAAATCGTTAAAGTGCTATCCAATATTAAATAAAGATTATGTAATTATATTATTATTACAGCGTGGACTTCGTGTTATAGTATAAACATAAGATATTGTGTGTAGATGTGATAGAATTACTCAATCATATTATTCACTTCCCCGCCCCCACCCAAAAATAAAAACCTTGAACCCTAAAGCCCCCAAAGAACCAAACAACCTTGACATGAACTTTCAATGTTTGAATTACAAAAAAAGTAAAGTTAGATTATAATCAATGTAGGCTATTATACGCGGAAGTGATTGCATTACAAAACGTTAGTTGAACTTTCAAATTAATTTTAGTTAATTAGAAGGAAAAAAAAAAGGTACTAGTACCATGAAAAACAAGAGAACACCGAAGATCAACCCAAACATTTATCTTATTTTAATGGACCATAAAATGGGTCATGGTGCAAGCCACAATGGGAACATCACTTTAGCCACAATGTTATCTATACATTTATTTTTACTTTTTTCACAATTTTTGTTAAACTTTGTACTTTTTGATTTTCTTCATTGCATTCTATCTTACGGTCAAAAATTAAAATAATGTATGGAAAGTAAAATGATGTGCAGGGATAACATTGCCCTAAAGCAATTACCCCAATTAAGGACAAATTTAAACAGAAGTCTAATTTTGTGAGTTATTATTGGATTTAGTCTACTTTGTTGGGTTATGTCTCTTTACTGATTATCCACGTCATTTTTTTGTTATCTTTTTATTAAATTGTGATAAATGTCATCTCGTATTTATATTTTTATCTTTAGGGTAATGCTAGGATATCAACTTTTAAATCAATTTTTGTAAACTATATAACGTGATTGCTAATTATTGAATTATTATTTAAGTGTTGATTAAAATGCTTATTTCTATTGGTGACACATTATATGGTTCGTAAATTTGTTTAAAAAGTTAGTATATCTAGTATACTCTCATCTTTTACTCAATTTTAGGATTAAATACAACAATTAGAAATTGTTTCTCCTTCTTCCTCCTCCTAATTCGTATCTCAATTTTTTATTCTACCATCACAAGTTAACTGTGTTAATTAATTTTGTTAGGGTACTATTAAAGAGACTATGTATTTGAATTATATTATAAATCATATTTGTTGATAATTAAATTATTACTTAAATAATGAATAATGTACTTATTTCTATCTTTTCTTCACAAAGGAATGATGCCGGATAAGTAGATATACATGCATGCAGGTTTGCTTGTTAAAGTATTCAATCAGTATTCCCCCCATCTCTTAAAATATTTATAAATCAACAGAAAAAAGTGCTTTCAAATTGCTTTTCTGGGGGGCAAATCAGGCTTCAAATCTAACGAATGAACGTACTAAATAAAGACAGACAGACAGAGAGAGATTTCAAAGTCAAGAATTCACAACTTAATCACTCAAAAAATGATCCCATTTAAAAGTGATTAAGGGAAAAGGTTCTTTGGGAAAGTGTAATTTGATTAGCCAGCAGAAAGAGAGGGAGCAAAAGAGGGAATATTAAGCCAGCAGATAATGCACCACTAAAACTTATTCCATCTCTTTTCCTTCTACTTTTAACTTTTGATTCAATTCATGACTTCTACGCAATGGCAAAACATCACATATCAACATCACTAATTATATAGACATGCATGGGAACTCCTAAATATAATATACATACACAGGCATATATTTGTGATTTTTTTATTTTTTTTGCTTCTTTCTTTTTCAGAGCATAATGCAGCAGTAGTCAGCCAATTTTAACTTCATTTACGTGCCAATCCGGTCCGGTCTCGCCAAGCTGAACTCCAATGAGCTTGGATTGTTGAGGTTTTCATCATATGATTCTATAAAACTCTTTGATTGAAAAAATTGGCTTATTATTCCCTGCAACTTAAAGTTCATCATTAACTTGCCTAAACTCTTGACATGAAATGTGATAATTAAATAGTAAAGAGGGTTCACGGTCTAAAAAAGAAAGTGTTTTTGTTATATCAATTCTCCTACCAATGGGCAAGATTTTTGGAGTAAACTGTCGAAATCCCTAACTTACTTAACTTCGTATCTGCCCCATGAACTTAGTAATAAAGGGGAATTTCAGCAGTTTACTGTAGATTTTTATGTAGTTTGGTGAAATATAGGGTGGAAGAGAGTCAGATGGAAAGGTAAGATTGAAAGCTATAGGGGTGCAAGTTGGAATGAAGTTTTCCACTCCACTGTTAAGTTTTTCATACGAACCCGAAAATTTTCAAATTCGAATAGTTTTGAAAAATTGGAATGAAAATTGGAATGCATTTATGTCTTTTGAAGAATTTTGAATTTCCAATCTGAATTTTTTCAAAATGTTATGAATTTATTGGATAAAAAAATTTCTGATTTTTAATAGTTATTTTTATTATTATTTGAAATTCAAATACGATCAAACGGAGGATAGGGTGCTTGAAGTTATTTATTAAACTTATGTATTTTGTAATTACCTTTTGTATAAGTTATTGTTAGTTTTGGTCATTTTGGACACATTTTTTTCATTGTTTTTGTACATAAAGCCAGCACCCTAAAATGGTGAAGTTTTATATCCATAAAATTCCCATCCTTACTTTCAATCCTTGGAAAAACTCGGAGCAGTTGCTACAGACTTATTTTTCTTTTCTGATTTATACTACAAAATTAATTGGATAATACTTGTGTCCCCCGATTAATGAACCCTTACTGTTCGACATCATAATTGATAAAATTGTTTATTCTCTTTATCATCATCAAAAGACCATATATGCAAAAAAAAAATATTTAATTTGGATATCTTTTAGTTATTCATATGCAGAAAATAAATAGACGGTTCATCATGAGGATGATACTTATTACCCAAACCGTTGATTGGTTTAACACGTATTAATAACTAAACGGTCTCTAAATTGAATGAATTTTCAGATATGATTTTTAGATTATGATAAAGTGAATGAATGGTTCCAATTATGTTGTTCGGACTGTAAAGGTTTGATAATCGTTATACATAACCATTTACCAAATAGTAAGAACTAACAATAAATTGCATGTACGAAAAAGTTTGAGAATATTTAAAAACTTGTAAAATATATGTATTCCCAAATTATATTATGAGATTTCTGATATTACTCTGATTTCGAAAATTATGAAAATTCTAATTTGAAAACTGTGATCATATTCGATTCTAAAAATCTTTGGAATAAAAATTAGAAACCTTATTTCCCATATCCGTCGTCCGAAAGTAACCCAAAAATGTAATGGATCCAGATTGTGGGCTTATTTTTTAATACTCACTAGTTCGATAATGAATCATTAATTATGTGTGTAACTACAAGCTTGTAGGACATAATTAATTTTATGAGCAACTCTAATTAATTACTAGTTTTTAATGTAAGTAGAGACATATATATGATAGCTCGATTACTAAAATCCCTAGCCCATTCAATCAAAAGAAGCAATCTCTCTGCATCCACGTAATTTAAAAGATATGTTTCGTGCAAGACTTGGTAATTAGTAAACCCTAGCTAATTGCAGGTAATTGGTTTCCAGTAGTAATTCTATGTTGAGAAAGCATTTCTGCTCTAAGCACATTTAGATCCCTTGAACTGGCTTGCAGCCAGTGCTCCTCTACTGCAACCATGCTTGCATATATTTCCTTAAAATATAAGTGCCAGCAATTCTTTACATCTTCTGCTGGTTCCAAAATCCTAATCAGCTTCTACGATACGTACTTAAACTTGATGCAAATCACAAGTGAAGATCATATATACCTGCAACATTGGAAAATAGAATAGACCAAGTAAAAGGTGAGGTACATGCAGAAGTAAGATTTATGTAATAATTAATCTGAATAGAAAGGCCAAATAATTATAAATCAAATCAATTCCCTTAAGTATCATGCGGGGAAATTAAAGAATTAATAAACTTCATCTCGCAAGACTTTCAGGTGAACATTCATGAATTGTATACAACAAAAGAGGATTAATCTGCTGGCCTTGATCATTACTTCATCATAATGCATGAAATGAACATCAGAGAAGAAAAATATTGATTAAAAGATAGTGATCATCATACATATGTTGTATTCTCATTCATGATTTGTGGTTTTGGTACCCAGTTATCTATGACATGATATGGTGCAGTAAACAAGCATAACATTGGATTAGTTATATAGATTCATAAGATCTTTTTTATAATATGAAATTACTTGGATATCTTACTACATATCACAGCTGTATAAATTAATGTACTACACCTTAATCTATATCACCTTTTCATGATCAAGTTGGATAATCTATTTGACAATTTATTTTTGTTTCGAATGATAAATTTAGCATATTCTTACTCATCACTTTAAATATGTCACCCCTGAGATAACCCAAGTGACTTTTTGTCAATTTTTTTTTTTATTATGTCTTCGGTCGTACCCAGTGCACAAGGCTCCCGCTTTACGCAGGGTCTGGAAGAGGTGAATGTCGGCTAGCCTTACCCCCATTTATGGAGAGGCTGCTCCCAAGTCTCGAACCCGAGACCTACCGCTCATGGGCGAAGGCACTTGCCATCGCACCAAGTGCGACCTCTTTTTTTTTATTATGTCTTCGTGTATAAAAAAATTAAAAGTAAAGAGTAGCTAAAGGCTATCACGATTAATGTGGCATGAAGGTCAGAGAGAGTGAGTAGGTGATTTCATCGTCAAGAAAGAGAGGCTATCTCTCAAGCATAAAAGGCATGTTTTCATTTTTTTTTTCTAAGTAAAGAGCCTAAATTATAATTGGAAAATCAAATACAAAAAGTTGGAATGTACTATTAGCTGTAAGCTATTGTATTGCATTCTCTTTGATCTTATTCTTTCAGACATGTATATTTAACTTATCATGCTCTCAAGTTTCGAGATTTTAGTTTTGGTAAACATTTGCAAGAAAGATTGGTGATGCAAGAACGACGCCACCGCATAGATTATTAGAAAGAAAACATAAAAAGAAAACAAATGGAAAGCAAAAGCTGTAAAAAGAACTACTTTTTAGTTTCAGAAAAGGAAGGACGCGGATTCTGATTTCTCGAGCAAAAGCAACCCATAACCATGCATTTATAGGAGAAGAAAGACAAAGCAATCACTCGAAAAGTACAACTTTAACCAATGATAATAACACAAAATCAATATATTAATGAAGGGTTATTGATTCATAAAGAGAGAGTTAAATATTAAGCACCTGGAGGAGTTGCCCCACAGATTGTTAAAAGGGCGGTGTTCCATATGATCGTGCTCTAAGTTTAAAGTTGCATTTGAGGCTCCTCTTTGGTTAAGTAAACCATTTGAATTTGAATTATGATGATGGTTCGTTATAGACAAAAGATCTTCATCCCCAGATCCATCTGTTACATATATCAAGCTAACCAGATGTTCATATCAATGTTCATGACACGAGAACAAAAAATGGCCGTAGACGACGTAACTTGTCAATGTTGTTTTCTCTTTTTACATTATATAGGTAATAAAATCAAGTTTAATCTTTCTTTTATTTTTGGTCATATACATTACAAGTTATAACATGCCAAAAATCTAAAGAACAGTAAAAAAAAAAAGATACACTTTTGTTTCATGCATGCTTAGTCTGAATTATGTGTATGAATACAATAGTATTATATATGTGGGGTTGTAGGTAGCTAGTGCAGAGGAATGGTTGTAAGAATTTCAAACTTCAAAAGGGTACGTACGTGGTAGCGAAATATTCATGGGAATAATTAGCAATAATAATTAGGGAAGTACCAGTAAAGAAAAATATGAATTACCTGAGGAAGCTAGAGGTTTGTCAGTGTTCTTAACAGTTCTATACATCTGCAAATCCAAAAAGAAGATATTTAATAAGAGAATGAGATAAATAACTGATTAATATGTAAAATCTCACTCGGTCAAAAAAGCAAAATAAAATAAAATAAAATAAACAAAACAAAATCAAAGGAGATGCTACATAATTCACTTTGTGGGATTTTTTTTGGTTTGTTTAATAACCACGAGGTTGATGTTTGGTGAGGTCAGTAAAAGCTTTGTATTATTGAGAAATGATGGCTTGGCTACTTTCTTCCTTTCTCCATCTCTAAAAGTAGAACTTGTCCTGTGTATATCAGTTATCACAAGAACAGAAACGGACTCAACTATTCATTCATCCATTTATTCATGGATCAGTAATTCATCACAGTATCAGTACTAGTTCTGCTGCATCTGCTGCGTCGTCCCTTGGCTGTCGTGCCACTTGGATGGCCAAAGTCTTCAGTCTCCAGTCTTCCCCCAACACACAAACAAACACATACACACTCAAGACAACCCACAGAAAAAATCGTGCGTAGTGAAAGTCGACAGAAAAAATAAGAGGGAGAGAGAGAGAGAGAGAGAGAGAGAGAGAGAGAGAGAGAGATTGAGAAAAAAAATATAGGGTTTGAATCCGAAATCCGAATGTGGTCGATATATCAAACATTTCAGAGTGCTAACTTTTTTTAATTTCTTTCAATAAAAACATAACAAAAAAGGTCACTGGTTTAGCCTAGGGGTGAGGTGGGTAGAGTGATGGTTAAGAACTTAAGAGTAGCGTTGGTCCAGGCTTTGAAACTCTCCAATTTAATTGAAGAAATAAAAAACACAACAAAAAATCAGGTGATGAGATGAAGCTAGCTGTACCTGCAAATGGCTCTTAACATGAGCAAGTGTGAGATCCTTGACGTCCATGAGCTCCAACACTGACTTTGGAGTAGCCCCTATATATATAGACAAAAATTACCAAAGAATTCCCCAAAAAAATTATGAAAAAACTAAAAGACTATTCAATTCAAACTAATTAAAGAAGGAAAAAAAAGAAATTAATAATTTGAAACAAGCTAGGGTGAGAAGTGGCGAGATTTTTCCGGCGGCTGGACGGGCAGCTGCCCACACTTTCCCTAATGTGCGTCCGCCCCTGAAGGTGTGAGAGAGAGAGGGACTTACTTTCATGACCACCAAGGAGCTCGACAGCATGAACAAAACGAGCATGAAGAGAAGTAGTCCATCTCATCCTGGGAGCTCTCATGTTCCTCTTATTAATATTTTGCCCTATGAGCTTCGGCGGCGTAAATTTCGATCTCATGGTGAAACCATTCGACGACAAGTCGGCGTTGTAATTTCCACCTCCTCCAACACAGTGATGCTGCTGCAGCTGCTGAGGATAATAAGGATTCAAATTATACGACGGAAAATGGTGTTGTCGTTGACGCTGCTGCTGTTGTTGTTGCACTCCTCCTACTCCTAGGCTTAGACTGTCCATCGTTATCCCGTTAAACCCTCCCAATCCCATTCCCATTCCCCTGCCACTGCAATTCCGAGCAGGTGCTGCCGGTCCGAAGGAATTAGACAGATAAGGCGCCGTTTGGTACACAGGATTAGGGGAAAACGAAGGAGGAAACGAGCAATTAGTACTACTGGTACTGTAAACGGGAATCCCTTTGATGGGTTTGAGTCTCTCAAGCATCGAAATCCCATTACTACTAGTTACACTATTACCACTATTCTTCGCTTCGTCATTGTAACCGTCTCCACCGCCGAAATAGTTCTTCTTCCAGGCGCTTTCGGCCTCTAAGGCCGAGGGATTCGCGAGGGAAAGCTCAGTGTCGGCGCCAGCAGCTGCTGGGGAAGAACTGGTGTAGCTGGCCCTAATACAGCTGTCGCTGTGGGATTTGTTGGATAGGGCGCCGCCGTTGGTGCAATCCTCGTCGGTGTCTCTTCGCCATATGTCGAAGCAGCTGCTGGAGTCGTGATCGGGCGTTACTTGGTCGGTGCAAATGGAGGAGGGAGCACTGTTTGTGTTTGTGTTTGGAGGGCTTATGTGGAGTGAAAGATCAGGAATCGGATTCAAAGCTAAGCAGCTTCTACCGCCTGCAGCTGCTTCTGATGAAAGCCCTTTTTCGCGAAGCATTTTTGAAACCCTTTTATATATATTCCCAGATTCTATCTATGGCTACAAACCCAGCAGTTTTGGGTTCTGAAAACAAAGAGCAAAAAAAGCACACTACTCCTCTCCTGACAGATTTCAGAAACTAAATCACACACTCATAGTAATATACAGATGTGATTGTGAGATGTTGGTTTTTCTCTAATTTCATCCATCTTCTTGCTGCAAAAATAAAATCACTTCACATATATAGAGAGAATATATATAGATATATATAATATAATTTAGTAGAGAAATAGTACTGGTGATTTTTCAGCCTAGGAGGAGTATGGAAGACAAATTAAGAAAGTAAAGCCTTTCAAAAGAAAATTGGAAAAGGGAGAGAGAAAGAAAGAAAGTGAGAGTGTGCTGTAAAGAAAGTAAGAAAGGCTGAATGAAAAAAAAAAGCAAGACTTTTCTCTTGCTCAAGAAACAGACATCCTCATCAGGAGAGAGAGAGAGGTTTGGTATTTTGCTTAATATGTAATAATTAGTAGTAGAAAATAAAAAAAATAAAAAGGAAAATGGGGAAGGGATATTGGGAAGGAGAAAGAAGATGTGGGTCTGAGTTTCTAATGCCTCGAGAGTATATATAGGAAAATGACGCTCCAACAAAGCCTGTCCCTCTCACTCGGCTTTAGTCAATATATAAACTCAGCACGCAAAAATGCAGCAAAGTTGTTTGCACATTTTTTTAAAATTTGTTTCTATAAATCTTTGGTATTTTTATCTTCACCGGAGACGACGGGATAAAAGTTTAGAGGACAGGGTGTGTGTGAGAGAGAGAGAGAGAGAGAGAGAGAGTGACCGACAAACAATCTAGAATTCCTTTTCCCCCACCCTCTTCGCTATAAACCCTCCCTTCCTAGTTCCTGTAGTCCTTTAACTCTTGCATCTCTCTCGGCATTCATAAATTGACACTCAGTGTACGTATACTACACATCTATATGCTTTTTGTTTTTCTTAATGCCATCTAAGTGATCAGTTTTAGTATAAATATCTCAATTAGTTTCCTTTCACCTTATAGTAAGGTATCTTAATTTCCTTCTACCTTTTTCTGGTGCAATGGCAAATGTCTTTGGCTCTCAATATCTAATCCTAAACCCTATCGTGATCAGTTTTGTGTGTAAATTCTCTTCCCTCTACCTCATTATTGTTTAGACTAGCTAGTAAGAAGCAGTGTACTCGTCGAAAGGAGTTGAGGTTTTACCGATAAACTAATTGGCAATACGACCATTTTTTTTATAAACGTATAAAAAGTTTGGTAAATTTCCAATGTAAGACATTTCTTCATCCTCACACCCACACCCTTAGATACAAGTTCAAATCCTTATCGTTTTACATTTAAGTTGTTTAATTCGAATATCATTTTGTAAAAAAAAAAAAACATCGCTTGTACATATAAAACAAAAGAACTACATATGTATTTGTGCAAACAAATATTTTTCAATGTTTAGAACTTTGAAGTAAAGATGACAAATATGATGTGTTTACACGCATGCTTATCTTAATTAGAGTTCCAAAATCATTCAGTTGGTGGGTTCGTTACTACAACATATGTAGAAAGCTAAATGATGATTAGGCCCCAAATTAAGATCATTACAAAAATCCATGGTTTTAAGGTTATATAAAAAGACAGAAGCTCTTTCGATTGTTTCTCCTTTCGTGGAAGAAAAATTGCATCCAACCAAAAGAGAGCTGCAAAACAGCATAAAACAAGCCCAAAGAGAGCTGCAGAAAGTAACTGAACATGCACAAATTCTGTGGTGTATGGTATATATCCTATCATCATGTGTACATTTATCCACGATCTGACCCTTTCTCAATAATTCCCTTTCATTTCATTTATCACTTTAAAACGTGTTGTGATTTTTGTTAGGCCATCCATGTGATACGTGTCGATGAGATATCACAAGAATTGAAGTTCCAATAATGCTATATAGGGTCATTTTTGTACTAAGAGATAAGTTTTTTATACAAGTATTTGCATCACTTGTCACGTGATTTATTTATTTATTTATTTATATGTTACAATACATGAATAGATAATAGAGTCGATATATTTTAAATTTAAACATGTACTATAATAATAGAAAAGCAAATACATATTTTATAATTAGAACGAAATTATAACATCAGTATGATATTCTGAATTTAGAGAAAATCTTGATAATCTTGATCTCATAGCGTATATTGGCAAATGAATGATGGAACATGGAGAAAATTTTGATAATCTAGATCTCATAGCGTATATTGGCAAATGAATGATGGAACAGGGTGATCGTTGTAATAGTCAAGAAATATTGATTAACTAGGTGGACCCTTTGACCTTAAAATTTTTATTTCGCGGACCCTCTAAAGTGTTGTTTGTTTGCTTTCATATGGTTGTTATCGTAAACCCTAATTCCACATACCTTTGTTAGATTTCTTATATTCCTTTTCATCCTCCAAAATATTCCTTTCTAATCCTCCAACAACTCCGTCTAGCATTTTGCGTGTGATATGTCATCCCCACATGACCTTCAAGCCTTCACCACACCCTACCCTCATTGACTCGTACAAATCTTAATCAATTCCAAAAACCTAGGCCAAATCAACTTATTAACCATATAAAAAAAAAGTAATCAAATCAATTCTCCCTACTAATTCATTTTTCTTTCGGGTAATGCTAGATAAACCAAATTTTTTAAGCTAAATTTGCAAACTAAATGATGTGGTTATTAATAATTGAATTATTAATTAAGTGTCGATTAACGTGCTTGTTTCTTAATGAAGACACATTATTTAGTTTGCAATTTGATTTAAAAAATTTGATCTTCCTAGCATTACTTTTTTCTTTTTTCTACTGCTCATCTCTTTAATGCATTCACCAGATGTAGATTTAAACATGTCCTCGACTGCTTGACTAACGAGTTACAAGGCCCTATATATGCCCCTATGTCTTAATTAATTTAACTAATTAATTAATTAGTAATTAAACTAGTTCAGCCGAGGCAAGTGTATTACATTGAAAAGGTGAAAGATTTAATGCATTTAATGCTTCAAAATATTTTAGTTAAATTTACTTATTTCCATAATGCATAAGTAGATTTAAAAATTTGAGTCATGCATCCTTTGTTTCCGATGCAAATTAAGATATAGAGAAATGGTAAGGAAGACTCTTTTAATGTAGGATTTTTATGGACTTTTTGTCACTTTACATGTCAATTTTTGTGTCAATATTATAAAATATTATGCAAAAAAATGAGATGACAGAGAGTCCATAAAAAAGTCTCACTTTAAGAGTCTTGACATTTTATACATAACACCTTAGACCATCTCAAATCCTTGAAGTAAAACCTAAAATTTTTAGCCCAGAAAATTTAGGTTTTAACCCAAAACAACATTTCTGCTCCAACCCTTATAGTCTAAATTTTTTACCCCAAGGTTATTAAAGAATAAATTTAGGCTTTTTTTTAAGTAATTTTTTTTTAAAAAAATATGTAAACTATCATAATTTAATTTTATGAACATTTGAACCTAAAAATATTTAGATTCCAATAAATATTGAAAAATCATTAAATTTGGGTGAATTTTGAGTTAAATAATTTCTTTTAATTATTTTAGCTATTGGATTTAAATTTGAGTTGTTAGATCTTTTTTTATATTGTTGGATTTGATCATATTAGGTATCAACCATTGGATTCAATAAAATTATAAATATAAAACAAAAACATTAACTAAATTAAATGTGGACCATTGGATAACCAATGACCCGTTTGAATTTCAGTCGTTGATCATCCAAAAGAGTCGTTGGCTCACTTTTCTTGCCCGACATTTGCTGGACACACCCACGTGGGTGGGGCTACCCTTTGCAACAATGATAAATGCTAGGACGCGTCCTTCATGTGGCGCGAGTGGTTTTGGGCGCTTGTCGTCCAACTCCCTCTCTTCCACTCGCACAAGTGGGCTCCTCCACTAACCAGCCCTCTTTTCTGGCCGGTATTTGGCCCAATTTTAGCTTCTAACTCAAAATCCCAAATTGGCCCAAGGGTTGGAAGGAGATGAGGGGGAATAGATGGTAAATTTTAGGACTTACTCCAAAGGTTGAAGTTGATCTTATAGGTGGAATATAATATGCTTTGTTGCTCAGCCACTCAGTACTCATCGGCATTCTTAAACCACATACTTATCCCCTACTTTGTGCTTACAAGTATGTTTTTCCTTTTCTTATTCCAAATGAGTATTCTCATCCATCGTTTCTAATCATAACATTAAGCAATAGTATTTGGCATTATTCCATTGACATGTAATAATGTAAGCCTTCCATTCGAGACAATTTATTGTCTCACCGAGTTATTTCTCTAATTGTACGACAGATTTTCTTCATCCGTTTACAACCAACAAAATTTTTAACTCAACAATATGAAATTTTAATCGCTCCAGACAGGGGCGGAGCCACCAAGGGACTAGGGTAGTCCCCGACCTATCCTGACTTCATCTGAGGTGTGAACCTCATGGAAGAAGATGAAGCAAACGACGTCGTTAAGCTGTTTTGATTTTAAATCTTTTCGGCTATCTAATGAAATGATAAATTTGGCAGGGGAGTTTTAAAAGAGATGTGCAATTTTAAATGGAAAAAGCAACCCCACTTCTGGTTCGATTCTCTCACCTAACAGTAATAACCCTATAATTTTCTAAAGCAACCCACCTTCTTTATTTGCAGACCTCTCCCCCTTTTCCTTCTTTTTCTACTTCTTTGTATTTTCTTTAGCCTTCCACAACCTATCTCTTACTTGGTTGTCTGGGTTTTTACATTTTTTTCTTCTTAGTATTGAATTTAAGAGAATTTTTTCAATTTTGTGAGGATTACATAAATTGCATATGTCAACATGTTATGGATTCAACTTTTTACACACACTCATATATATATATATATATATATATATATATATATATATATACATATTTGTGAAAGGCCCCTCCTCATTCAGAATTCTGGCTCCGCCACTGGCTCCAGAGAAACTAACGGGTTAGATCCATTTTGCATGGAAATTGAAATAACCCGAAGTATGAAATTGATATTATTCCCAACTTATTAATTACCACATGCACAGCCAACAATACCGATATTGTCCCCAACCTGTTAATTACCACCTAAACAATTCGGCCAACAATACTGATGTTGTTCTCAACTTGTTAATTATCACATCACAGTTTGACATGTATGAAGTTTTATCACAATAAATTTCGATATTAGTTAAAGTGGAGTTAATATATTTAAACTCTTTTTTTTCTTTGTCTCTACCTGATATGGGATATTTCAACAAAATAGAATATTTGACAGTTGCTACTACTATAATTCTTAATCTTCTTATTGTTCGGGGATATATAATTCATTACCGTCTGCCCATGCAGTGAGAGGGTAGAGTCAAATTATTCATGCTTACCCAATTTGTAATTGCAAATTTCTTCTTCTTCTTTATCTGTTCCGCTCAAATCCAACCCTTTTCGTTTTCTCCAATTTTGGTTTTGGCTGGATGACAAAAATTATGAACAATTTCGTTGAATGATATTAAAATTTTACTTCTTTATTCCTATCTATTTGTCCAATCCAATTCCCTCTGCAAC